GGGGGGGGGGGGGGTATGTAGTAAAGATGCAGCAACGAGTTCAGTTTACTCGCGAGTTACAAAAAAAATGACACTATCGAAGTACATGAGGATGTGTTAGCAATCCGAGGTGTTGGAATACACAATGACAAGGTGATAAGGAAGATTAATAGAATATGGAAACGGAAAGACGGTCGGAAAATTGATAATATCAATATATTATTTAAATTTTGGAAGAGCGAAGATTGCAAGAATTTTAATAGAACATTGCTACTGCAAAACACTGAAAGAGTCGTTTGTCGATTTATTACTGCGTGCGAAATATGTCCGAAAACAGAATCAACGCTAATAAAACGAATTGTGAGCTATTGTGCCAAAAAGCTCGAGGACGTTATACGGACAACTACCAAAAACGATATTGGCCGATCAAAATATGTTTGTACTTTGACAAGTTCTCAAAATTAGTACGAGTACATATCTGATCTGAAAATCAAATTAGGCAAACTGTAGCAGGTAAGTGAAAACCAATTTTTTAGATATGTTGAAAGCTCCCCAAAAAAGACTAAATGATAGAGGAACGCAAGTTAGCAGTAACACAGGTCGGCAAAGCAATTATTTGTTAGATGCATCGAATATTTTTGCTGAATTATATGTTTTAGAGATGACATATTCTAAAACTAACTTTTAGAACAACATATCACCACCGAATAATACATGATTTAGCCGATGGCATAGTCTGAGAAGAAAATCTGCATTCATCATTAGCTTGAAGGGGCACATATTGGGTTTGTATTTTAAAAACAAACAAAAAAGAGTAAAATTAAGAAAAATACTTGCTTCCCAAACAAAAAAAGAAGATAATAATTTTTATATATCAATGTGCCCTACATTTGCTGAAAATATAATATCCTAGGAACCACAATTAAAGAAACAGTTTAGAATTTCTCCTAACATTTTGTAAAAACATGTGTATTACGTAATCTAACAAATTTCTATTGTAACTTCTTTAATAGTCCTTATTATATATAATACGTAATTATTGTAAAAAATACAATTTTTTAATACATTTCAATCGGGAGACCGTTCAATCTTTCAGCATATTAAGGAACTATGTTTGTAAGAATTCAAGAGAATATACATTATTTGCTACCTTGTTTTCCAAACAAGAAAATATAATTATCCTCTTGAACTCTTTAATTCACTAAGTACCAAATTTACTTCATGCTCAAACATTAATTGTTTTATATACTTACTTGACAAATGGGTTATATGTGGGTGTGAGATTGTACCCCGCGACAATTGCGAACGGAATCGCAATAGACAGAATTAAGAAGAAAGCAAACACCAAGCGTCCAAAACTGAATTTTCTCGTGTTCCAGTGGTCAACCAAAGGAAACAACAGAAGCGGTGAGATTAGGTAAAGTTGCATGTCAACCGCCATATACCAGGAATGCCAGAGGCACTGTTGGAAAGAACAATAATTTGTCAATTCAATGAGAAAAACCAAAAAATAATTGTTATCTTACTTTGCTACATGTATTTCAAACTTCGTGCTCACCATGTTGCTTAAATTGGTGCGGTAATTGTGAATGTAAAGAATGTTCCGCCACCAGTTTGCTCGGCATGGGTTGACATCAGCCGATGAGAGCTCATCCCACAGAGGGCCATCTCCAAAAAACGGAAGTCCACCGGTGTACAGCAATATTACAAATGCCATAAGCGGCGTCAATCTATAACAGAAAGGTTGAGTTCATTTCTTGAGAGACATGGGAAGAAAAATATTTGGTACGCGAGTCACTGATCAAGTAATAAAAACAATTTACATGAGTGATTTTGATAAGTTAATGTCTGAACGAACGACATTTTGTTCCCTCGACTTATGCCATTATCCTGCTTTGCAGAGGGATCATAGAAATCCAACAACACGCTTACAGCACTTCAGATCTTGTGTTTTGCGTAATAGGTACCGGGCGTACCGGATGAACCTGTGCAGGTAGAAGGCGGGCAGCCAGGAGCGCAGCTGGCGGAGCGACCGCGGATGGCGGCGGCGGGTGCAGGCGAACGAGTAGGCCAGCACGCACCCGGACAGGCAGAGGAAGGTGTCGACAGCGATGAAGCCGAGCGGGAAGTAAGCGTGCAGCCACCCTTGCAGCCGCTGCGGCAGCTCCCGCTTGTTCAGCAACGGCAGGTTCATCAGCATCAGTGCCTCCCGGTGGGTGATCACCACGCACACCATGGACAGAGAGCGCAACCCGCCGAGCGCCGACATACGCGAAAGCGCCCAGCTCCAGTCGCCGGGGTCCTTCGCGCCCACGCGCTGCACACAAGGAGCAAAACACCTCAGCCACACGAATGGCTAATTAACGCAGTAGGCCCAAAGGAGGCTGGTAGGGTTAGAGTAAACAAAACTCGTTTCTTTTTTGGTTATGTTCTGGACTCACTTAGTACATGATCATGCTTTTATTCGGTATGAAACATTGTAATTAGTTTTAAACGTGTTCGTAATAAAAATTCAGGAGTAATTCTCCTTGAACGTCTTTATTTTAAATATAGTAATTGCCTATAGTATCGTAGTGCAACCTGCTCTCGCTAGAAAGAGGATGTCTGGCGCCGCGCTAGCACTGAGGCCAATGAATTAGGGCTCAGACACAAGTCGTAAGGTTGTGGCTATCTGGGCCCCGCCCGATGGAAAGGCCAGGAACGCAGATGCATAACATTCCAGAAGTAGTTTGGGAACTTCTCTGAAATGTAGGTGTTATCAACGTTTAAGTCTAGTGGCAGAACCGCGTGAATCAAATGTTGCTGGTTGCCACGCGAAGGCGAGTATGGCGTCGAGATGGGTGGTATCCCGCTTTCTAGATCAAAGGGTCTCTCAAATTGAGTTAACATTCCTAAATTTGTTTTCTGGGCAACATTACATTACTTCTCGACTATACGTAACACAATTCAAGCCTTGCAGAGAAATTCGTTAATAATACATTGGTCTCTTTATCTTCACACTCCTTACCTCACTCGAGGCCCCAGATCTCGAATAGCTGCGAGAACCATCCCCATTCCCTGCATTATCTCCACTACCAGCGCCCTCTGCCCCTGGAAGAAGAGGGTTGGGGCGGGGTTCGGGCAACTCGATTATCTTCCTCCAGGCGGTGACGGGCGACATGGCGT